CCTGGTGGGCCAGGATGTGCTCCAGTCTCTCCTCCACAGTCATCTGCTCCTGTGTGCTCCGATCAGATACATCCCTCTCCCAGAACTGCTGATTCAGTGCCGTCCTTTGAAATAAATTCTTCTTGGGGGAGGGGCTGATTTGCCAAACTTACATTGAGAGCAGAATCCAAACATCTGATACTGATCTATGGTATAGTTAACATAATGATTGTCTCTCCTTGTTCTTCTTAAGTTTTCCTTATTGGCCTGAGATCACTTGTAGGAAGAGAGTAACTGGGTGGGACAAGCATTAAATGCTCCATTACTAACCGTTTGAACCCCCATGATAACAGCCTGGAAAATCCAATTCCAAGCAGCTATCAACAAGGTCATGGAAACTTAATCTTCAAATCAGTGTGTGTGGAAAGTTCCTTAAATGTTATAGCTTTGGAAATTCCTGCCTACTGTGTTACTAGGAGCTGGTATGGGCTTGATAAGCACTGGATTTTGCTTTCGACATGTTTATGGAGGTTGGGGAGGAGGGCTAGAGTTGCTGCTTCAATAATTCATTCAGCAAATGAAGTACAGTCAGTCAACATTCACAGATTATTTTACAAATTTACAGACCACAATTTACCTATGACCCAAAATCAATATTCCCAGGACTTTAGCATATACATTCAAGGACATAGTCATGTATAGAGCTGCAGTGGCCAGTGTGCAAGTTCCCAGCTGAGGCAGACAGAGCAAGGCTGGCTCAGTATTTGTTAGTCATGTTTCCCTCAACTTTATAGAACATCGCTACAAAAACACACAATCAGCCACTCTACTGGACTCCTCAGATTTCCTTTGTTTTCAATTTAAATATATACCAACTCCTAAGAATGTCTTAAAGAGTTACAGGTAATTTCTTAGAATTTATAAGTGCATTTTTTCAAATAATGAACTCGCTTTGTATAGAGAGATAAAGTTCCTTATATGTGACCTAGCATGATACAAGAATTAGCTTAAGTAAAAGGGTTAAGAAATTAAACAGAGTTCTGATTAATAAAGAACCAGTGTGAAATTATTGAAACTGAAGAACATTTCTTAGACCAAATTTCTAGCATAAATCTTTCCTTTAAGAAAGTCAAATTTGTAATCGTGTGACAAATCTACGTAATCCTTTGCTTTTCTCAAATAGTGTTTGTGTCTTAAATGTTTCCTTTCATATCAAAAATGCGCTAACCTGTTTTGTACACACGAAAAATTGGGGCCTTGTGAACTGTGTGGTCTAATCCAGTGGTTCTCAACCTTCCTAATGCCATAACCCTTTAATACAGTTCATCATGTTGTGGTGACAACTGCGTTCCCCCTCCCCCCCCCCAAGTATAAAATTATTTTCATTGCTACTTCATAACTGTTAATTTGGCTACTGTTATCTATTGAGGAACCCCTGTGAAAGGGTCGTTCAACCCCCACCCCCAACGGGGTCACAACTCACAGGCTGAGAACTGCTGGTCTAATCAAAGACATTGTGAGCATATGACTGATAATATGTGTTACCCAGGTGACTATTAGAGGAAATGTGAGTTTTTAATACTCATCCCAAAACACTGTTAAATCAAGGAGTTAATATGTAATCTTTTTCCTCCTAGTCCTCAAACCCTTTTGGCTGGCATGAATAAATTTTTGTCACAGCTTGAAATTACATTCAGAAGAGATCCAAACAACTATAGGCCAAGAATAAACAAGCTCAACTCAATTAAGGTATGTGTAGAAACTGTCTTAAAACTTAGGTCTCGGGGTAAACAATTGATTAAATCATGTTTTCATAAAATTTTGTGCTCTGTGTATCAATTTTATGACATGTGTTTTTCCTGTTTTATATCTGATGGCATAGTGAGGTAGCAACTGGGGTGTTATGTGGGCTCCGTAACAGCCATTCATGTCTCTTAGGCTGTAGCCACTGCTGTACTACTTGCTTGTGTTTCATTGCCATTTACATATCTTCAGAAAAAAATTACACTAATTCACCATTCATATACATATTTAAGAGTACCTTAGCCAATTTATGTATTTTTTTCTGTTTAACATTTTATACCTATATGAGTCATAACTAAAAGTCTAAACAATTTTTGGTAAGATAAAAGTTGGAAGTATTGAGAAAATATCCATTTTTATTGTGTACTCTATACAAAGGGACATCAAAAGGTTTATGGAAAAAATCCACTACCGTTCATTCTGTTTTTCCACAAACTTTTGGAATCCCCTCATACTTGAATAAAGAGCCCTACTAGTGCATTGGTTAAGAACTCAGCTGCTAATCAAAGGTCTGACCAACATTTAGCATGTTGAACCTACAGGAGAAAAGATTACAGTCTAGAAAACTATGGGACAGCACTACTCCGCTCAGGGTCACCGAGAGCCAAAAGCAACACGACGACTTTTATTGCTATATTTCATGTTTCTGAACTATGTGCTTAGTTTTTAGAAAACAAAAAATCTCTTGGTCACTGAAACGAATGTCATTAGAAACTTCTGATGTTATTTTTTTCTAGTGTCCTCAGCAGTACCAACTTCAGATGCACTCATTTGGTGCCCATTTTTTATTTCTTAATACTTAGGTTTAGAAATATATCTACAACTCTACTGTAACGTTTGCTGGATCTTGATAGTATTTTTCATAATTTGTACTCCTAGATTTACCACTGAACTCTTGTGAGAGAGATGAAATCATCTTACTACTGTATTAAGCTCCTAACGTGGGGATTCCTTAGGCCTTCATTATATATTGTGTTCGTATTGGTGTTAATCCTTGACCAGGTTAAGGAAATTATACATTCTTTCGTTAAGTTTAAGCCATTTCTTAGTTTTGAGATGCAAACTAAGCATATGAAAGAAATTATTTTTATGTGCTTAATTTTCCCAAGAATATTTTGTATTACACACTGTTGTCATTTTCATGATTCAGACCCCAGTGTGCCCACTCACCTTCACTCTGATAAAGAAGCCTCTGGGCAAGTGGGTAGATTAATGTGAATTGTTAGTGGCCAGGCCTTTGAACAGTATTGGGAAGTACTATTATAATAGACATTTTGTGTACTAAGGTAATTCTCAAACTGACATGTTGCTTCTGGGGCAAGATTTTAGTTGAAATTAAGAAAATGGAATTTAATAGCTTTCCTAACCGTAACACATAGCAAAAACTTTTTATACATGAGTGGGTAGTCAAAAAATGGGAAAAGGCTCTCCCATGTTGGCAGCTCGATGAGCATCAAGCAGCTTGCTCTGATTTAGTGCTCCCAGTGGTGTTGCCTGGGAAGGTTCTGTGGTCACAGTGAATTTTTTTCTTAAAAAGTTTCGCTTGAACCTGGTTTTTTGGGATGGCCGATTTAAAAGAACAGTATGTGGCTGTGAAATTTTGTTTCCTGCTCAGGAAAAATCCTGCAGAAACTGTTGTGATATTGACCACAGTTTACAAGGACAGAGTACTATGAGAAAAACTCAAAAGTAGTAGTTTTCTCGTTTCCAAATAGGTGAAATGTTGATTGATGACCAAAAGGACAAAATGTTGACAAACTTTGTGTACTTCTGTTTGAAGACTGACCACAGACTATTGGAGGGATGGGAAAGTTATCTGGACTATCTTGGGAGATTTGGGGATGAGAAAGGTCGCTGTGAAATGTGTGCTTCAGGTTCTGGCTGAGCAGGACAAAGTGTCAAGGGGAAACATGCTGTGGTTTCAAAGAAAAGCTCTGAAGTGACCCAGACTGTTCCCCAAGGTCATTGTGATGATGAGACATACGAATAGTGGTGCTATTCTTCCAGCTCCAAAAGCAAACACCAGTCAAGCAGTGGAAGATACCATCATCATCTCACCCCAATAGATCTCAAGTGAAATCATACATCAAGACGATGTTCATTTGATTTTTTGACCTGAGGGGATAGTGTATTTAGAGTTTGTTCCACAGGGTCAAACAATAGTCTGTTTAGAGGTCATGAAAGATTGCATAACAGTGTGCAACCAAAAAAGCCTGGTTTGTGGCAGACTGGCACTGGTTTTTGCCACCACAATACACCTGCTCTTGCAGCCATCTCCCTGTGCTAGTTTGGAGCAAAAAATTCCAGCATCCCTCTCTTGCCCCACTCCGTGCGAATTTGCTTTGTTTCCACAAATGAAGAGGGACATGAAAGGACATCAATTTGACGACGTAGAAGAGATGAAGAGGTGCTGTCAGCAATCCAAACAGATGAGTTTAAAAAATGTTTCCCAGAATGGAATTGCAGATTTAACCAAATGTATTGAGTGTAATTGGGAGTACTGTGAAGGTTTGGTTAAAAAAAGTTAAATACGGAGGTGGGGGCAGGGAGAGGTGGGCAGCCGGACCAGGCCGGTGGGGAAGATGTGAAAGTTGTGTGGATTTGCTTTTTGTGAGAGGAGCTGGAAATTGTCCTGAGTGTGGCACTCCACTGAGAAAGAGCAACTTCAGGGTACAACTCTTTGAAGACCCTACTGTTGACAAAGAGGTTGAGATTAGGAAAAAAGTGTTAAAGATATACAATAAAAGAGAAGAAGACTTTTCTAGTCTAAGAGAATATAATGACTTCCTGGAAGAAGTGGAAGAAATTGTTTTCAACTTGACCAACAATGTGGATTTGGACAACACCAAAAAGAAAATGGAGCAATACCAAAAGGAAAACAAAGATGTGATTCAGAAAAATAAGCTGAAGCTGACTCGGGAACAGGAAGAATTGGAAGAAGCTTTAGAAGTGGAACGACAGGAAAATGAACAAAGGAGACTGTTTATACAAAAAGAACAATTGCAGCAGATGCTAAAAAGGTAGAATAAGCAGGCGTTTTTAGATGAACTGGAAAGTTCAGATCTTCCTGTTGCTCTGCTTTTGGCTCAGCATAAAGATCGATCTACCCAACTGGAAATGCAGCTTGAGAAACCCAAATCTATAAAGCCAGTGACATTTTCCACAGGCATCAAAATGGGTCAACAGATTTCACTAGCACCTGTACAAAAGCTTGAAGAAGCTCTATATGAATATCAACCACTGCAAATAGAGTCCTGTGGGCCACCTGTTCCTGAGCTCGAGATGTTAGGAAGACTTGGGTATCTAAACCATGTCCGAGCTGCCGCTCCACAGGACCTTGCTGGAGGCTACACTTCTTCCCTGGTGTGTCACCGGGCACTGCAGGATGCGTTCAGTGGGCTTTTCTGGCAGCCCAGTTAACTTTCCCTTCCTGGTTTACAAGATTTGGACCTTGGAGCAGAAGCAGCAGTGAGCAACAGTAAAGCAAGCTTGTAAAATTATAGCCCCATGCAGCTGCACAACCACAGAACGGTGATGCAACAGCTACATGCAAGTCTTTATAGAGAGAACACTTCAGAATTCACCCGAGTGTCACAGTGGATACATGTGCGAAAAAGATTGAGATTTTTACTTACTTTCTTCTGAGGGATTAAGGCCGTAAGCCATCTGATGGAAGATTTGTTAATTCACCTATGTAAGTTTGAGGTTAACGGACAGACTTGTAAAATTGTTTTAAAAATAAAGCTAGACTTTATATTAAAAAAAAAAAATTAAATACATTGCTTTGGGGAAGAGAACAAAACCCGTTTGGGGAGGGGTACCCCCTCGTATGTGTTAAGAAAGAATGAGCTGGAGTCACTGGCGTGTAATAGAAGTACTGTTAGTCTTCCCCAGGGATAGGAGCAGACACCCTAATCTTGACTTTTAGCTACTGGATGCAGAAATACCCAGAAGCAGAGAAGGTTGCATAAAGGTTATATAAACACCTCAAAAATCATAGCTTGGGTGAAAGTTAACCTCTACATACATATAGGTGTTGATAATTTTTCTCTTTTATTTCTTAGGATGTAGAACAAAAGAAGAGTGGGAATTACTTTTTCTTGGATGATTAAACCTGAGAATACCGATGAGCCACTTATAATAAAAGAAACATTGGAGCTTTTGTTGTATTAAAACTTTAATCAGGTTTTT